TGATGAGGAGGTTCGTCAAGGCGCATCGGAGGAAGACGTTGATGAAGCTGACTAGTATGGATGTCATTGGAGGAGGAGAGCAGAAGGCGATGAAGGGAGAAGGGGACCTACTGAAGATGGAACGGGAGGCTGAGGCCGAGGCAGAGGCTGCGACGGTCGTTGACGGACGCGCACGGGAACGCGACGGGGTCGATGATCTGGTGCTGGGCTTCGGAGGGTTGGGCATGGAAGACGAGGTGGATGAATTGGTCAGGGGAGTAGAGGTCCTCGGGGTCCGGGTGGACGAGATGGAGAAGGTGCGGAAGGCCGCGGCCTCGGCGCCGCCTTTCCCGAGTGCGCCGCCGCCTTTCCATCAGAGGTCTATGACCTGCGGCGACTTGACGACCGAGAGGATGAGCGACGAGGAAGTCCAGCGGATCCTGTGGCCGGACGATCCTTTGCCCGTGGCCATACGGCCGTCGGTGAAGGATATGAAGGAGAAGTTCAGGAGGAGTGATCCTGCTTTTGTCGAGGAGAAGATGCTGCTGGGGGTGGAAGGGAAGCAGCTGGGCATTGACAGAGATCGGAGGGTTGGTCTCGTCCGGGATAGAGGGTAGCGTTGTTTTAGCAATGTTGGTGAGGACATTTTCATAACAATGAGCTCACGAATTTTATGAGAGGGGCGACGGTTTGGGTACAACTTTCACGAATTACGATCATGAATGGAGGTTGTTGGTAGACGGGCACACGTGGTGTGGACATACCAACTTGCACATAGCATCAGGGAAGGGATCGTTGGGAACTCTTCACAAGATAACAGTCACAAAGTTCATACTTCCAGTAAGAAACTTTCCTCCGCTCTGGTTTAGATGATTAGACTAGATCAAATGGGTGAGTAGACATCTTTCCTGGCGCGAATGCCGCACAGCGTATGAGGAATCGGCATTTGGCCGTCACTACTGGAGGCTAACTCAAGGGTAAGAATAATAACAAATTACGCCCTCGCACTGAATGCTGATGGAAAGAAATGAAACAACCTTCACGCGTGAAGCAGCTTCACACAATCATGGGTGACGAGAGCCGGAGCTGGGTGGGGTGAAGCCCTGCCCCACTCACGCTTCTTAGTGGTCAAAATTAGGGCTGCCTCCAACGAAGATCGTGGCGGACATAGCTCAGTTGGGAGAGCGTCAGACTGAAGTTAACTTCATTCACTTAATCTGAAGGTCGTGTGTTCAATCCACACTGGCCGCATCTTCATTATCTTTTGCCACTTTTTCACATCGATTATTCATTTGTTTGTTTCGATTGCGTAGTGCGCCCGGCTTCTTTTTTTATCAAAAGTCTTCTTGCTCAATTGCACTTGTTCTATTATGAGGTTAGAGTCCTGAGTGTGTGAGCGTGAGCACTGGGTTGAGATTACTGCAGCACCTTGATAGCCAGGAAAATGATGGGACAGCCCGGTCCCTTCCCCATCAACGTATGATTTCACATCAGCGGCGGTATCATCGACGCCAAGCCAATGTCTCTACTTCCTTGTAATCAAAGTGATCAATTAACTCGCAGATGCGACAGCTCGTTTGCTTGTGTCTGTTCGGATCAGACCTTCGTGCTCAGGCAATCAGCCTGAGCTGACATTGTCACAGCATTGGTGCGATGACTGATGACTGATGACTGGTATCAAAACTCATAACATTCATAATCTTTTATCAAGCAATCGATGCTGCCCACTTTTGAACTTCTCTCGACATTGTGCCGTGTACGCCCCTTGCCCCATGCCCCGTTTTCCTCAAACCAGTACCGTCCTTTACGCGTACGGCCAGTTCTTGTTGAACGTGATACAGCTACCGTTGGCCGACGACGCAATATCCTTGTCAGTCAAGAAGATGCAGTACTTGGCCACAGCAGCGGGGTCCAGGCCCGTCTCGCCGCGCTTGTACTCGGGCTGCGCGGCGACCGTCTTCATCATGCCCTCCTGGTTGACACCCGTCGCGAAGGCGTCCATGATGTTGGTGGTGTCCATGCCGCCGAGCAGCAGGGCGATGGAGTAGATGCCCTTGTCGCCGTAGAAGCCGGCGGTGTTCTTGGTGACGGCGATGAGGCCGTGCTTGGAGGCGGTGTAGGCGACGCCGGAGCACAGGCCGCGGAAGCTGGCGTTGGAGCCGATGTTGATGATGAGGCCGGGTGGGCCGCCGGACGCGGAGGTGGCGCCCTGGGCGAGGAACTGGTTGACGGCGGCCTTTGTGGTGAGGAAGGGCCCCGTGAGGTTGACGGCGAGGACGGAGTCCCAGGTGTCCTTTGCGCACTCGCCGGCGGGGTCGAACTTGTCCATGACGCCGGCGTTGTTGACGAGGACGTCGAGGCGGCCGAAGCGGTCGACGGCGCCCTGGACGAGGGCGGCGACCGAGGCTTCGGAGGTGACGTCGACGGCGATGGCGTGCAGGCGGCCGGCGTAGGTGTCGCGGTACTCGGCGGCGACGGCGTCGATGCGGGACTGGTTGATGTCGGAGATGACGACGTTGGCGCCGGCGGCAAGGTAGGCTTCGGCGATGGACTTGCCGAGGCCGCCTCCGGAGCCGGTCACGATGACGGTGGTGCCGGTATGAGTGGGCATGGTGGATTGTGTGTGTATACGTGTGTGTAGTTGGCTTAAGGTTGAGAGTTTCGGGGTTTGAAAGGAGACAGAGGGAGAGACTTGGCTAGCGCGAGTGAGTGAGGTTCACGGTGAGGTCATGCGAGAGGAACGTCATGAAGGCTCTGGAATCTCTTAAGTAAGGCCGGTGGACCTGTTCGATGGCACGAGGGGCGAACGCAGTCGAGGAGGGGCTAAAAAAGTTGCGGGGCGGCGTCGTTGCGGGGAATGATGGCACTCTCGATTGGTGGCGCTGTTGACGTGCTTCGTGGGTTATCGTCCTGAGCCTGTATGTGGAATCGTATTCGGGTTTGACGATGTTTTGGGGAGAATCTTCCTCTTTCCTTTCTTTACCTAGCACCCGATGGGCCTCGGTGCGTTTAACTCCCGATCGGTGGCCGGCATGAGCCGTTTGTTGGATGGAGTTTACTTGACGCTGCGCCCCAGCATCCCAGGCTCGGCGCGGGAACAGCTTAGTTTCGCTGTGGTTGGCTCGCTGGTGTTTAAGTCGACGGATTAGGTATTTTCAAGGTGCTGACTGCAGATTTTCAGTACATGGAACCAAGTAGCATGCTGCCACAAGACCGTACTGAATGTATCTATCTATCGCAGAAATGATGATGAATCCCTCAAGTGAATCCCTCAATGCCGAATACGCGTGTGGGCCATGCAAGAGCGTATCATTCTTCAATCTTCATCCCACCCGAAGCCGTCACCGCTCATGTGAGCCGCCGCTGCGCACCCGCGCGCGCGCGATGTAGCCAAGCGCTGCATTTCCCGGGGTAAAGTTTCGGGTGATCTTCTCGATGCCCCTGGCTATCGCTGCAGTCTCCCAGTCCAGAAGACACGAATACGGCGGGGGCATCCCTGGCTGCATCGGGTTCGGGTTCGTATCTGCGGGCGGAACCTCACTCTTGTCAGGCCTTTGACGTGTTGCCAAAGCGGCAAGCGGGATGAACGCAACCACCATCGATTCTGCATGCAATTCTGTGTTGGTGTCGGCGGGTTCTGTTTGGTGGTTCCTTGGTTTGCCTGGCAGGTTGTAGGTATGCAACACAAAGTTTCGCTGGTGATCAGACTGGATGTCTGAAGTCGGCAACTTCTCCCGATTCACTTACTGGATGTGTATCCGTTTGCGACACTCTTACTCGAAGATTTGGGATTTGGCAACTTGATTAACGATGTCTTTTTTCCGAGGCATGATAGTCAAGTGCATGTGAATATGTCGGGATTATTGATCGCCGCAAAATTTCCCAAGGTTGTGCTGTGAGAGTTGCCGACGTAGGAAAGCATGCGTCTAGGGTCGGTTTTCTCGAATTGTAATAACATAAAGTCGGAGAGGAGTATCCAAAAAGATCCCAATATCCCTTTAGACACGGGCTTAAGTTTTCGAATGAGAAACGCTCTTGATCACATACGCAAAGAACATGAAGTCGTACTTATAAGTGCAAAGTATATTCAAAGAACTCACTATAAATGAACAAGTGACTATTGTATCGCGAGGCTCCAGGCTGTCAAGTCCCAGACCAGCTAGGCATACTGAATCTAAGTCCATCGCTGAAAAATCTTTGGACATACTCGCCAACAACATGGTAGAGCGGATCCTCCTCCAGAAGCACATCAGCGGGTGTCGAGCCACCTGCATGACCTGCATGACATGTGGGCACGGCGTTCTGGAGTTCAGGAGTTAGCGGTACTTCATACAAAGGGCCTTGTGAACGGGTGAGCGTTGGATTAGTTTGGCGGCCAGCTCGTGTAGCTTGCTGCTGCTGCTGCTGGGGCTGATGACATGGCATGTCGAGGCCCCGTGTAATGGTCAAGGTTGCAACCCAACATTCGTGGCACTGCTGTCCAGGGGAATATTGGAAATCGTACCGACGGCCGGCAGGGCAATAGTCGGACAAGCGATGCGGTACTCTGCGAAAGCTTCTGTCGAAACATTCCTTCGCCGCACATTTGTAGGTCTCGGGAAGATGACGCTGTGCGTCTTCGACTACGCGGCACTTTGGGCAGAAGTGCCACTGGATGACAAGTTTACACATGGCTGTGGCTGGACTCGATGGACTTGGTTGACGTAAGTTAAGTGTATGCTGGGTGGAACAGTTGTAGAGTTTGTTGCCGAAGTACGCAACATTGCAGAATAGCGAAAACTTATATGCTGGAGGCGTGGAGACAACAAGCGTCATTGTACTCAAAACAGTGAGCTGTATACAGCAGTTGTCCACTCTAGCCAGTCATAACAACGAGCGCTGATTCAGTGTCTGCGAAGAAAACAAGCAGACTGGGATCGTCACAATTTCTTCATCTGAGTCAAAGAACTTGCCCGAAGGCAAACATCCACGTTGGCACAAGGACTTTCATAGTCATTCATCATCAATTAGGGTTACTTATATTAGGTGGAAAACAAAACAACATGCAACACTGAGAGAATCCTCTCAAAGTGGGAATTCTTTTCCTTGGGGGCCCATTTTCTTGGGATTTCAACATCCCACCTAGCGGGAAGCAATGTCGATGCTAGCTTACTGACCGCACTGTCCCTCGATGATGGCAGTGGTGCCGTTGACGGTGCATTGTCCGTCAGCTTCACAGGTGCCGGCTCCAGCTCCGTCGGTGCAAGCCAGACCCTCGTTGTCAGCGGCGGCAGCTTCATCGGTGGCTTGATCGTCGCCATTGTCAGCGTTGTTGTTTCCGTTATTGGCGTTGTTGTTGCCGCCGTTGTTCGCATTGTTGTTATTGTTATTGTTTCCATTGTTACCTCCATTGTTGGCGTTGTTGTTGTTGTTGCCTCCATTGTTGGCATCAGCATCGTCGCCATTTCCACCGTTGTTGTTTCCGGCGTTGGCGTTGTTGCCATTGTTGGCGTTGTTTCCTCCGTTAGCATTCGCATTGCCTCCGTTGTTGCCGCCATTGGCGTTGGCATTGCCTCCGTTGTTACCGCCGTTGGCATTGGCATTTCCTCCGTTGTTGCCGCCGCCGCCGGCTGCGTTGGCTCCACCGTTGCCACCTCGGCCTCGGCCACCACCGCCGGCACCAGCGGCTCCTGCACCGCCGGCTCCGGCAGCTCCAGCACCACCAGCTCCGCCGGCACCTCCAGCCCCGGCACCACCAGCTCCGCCGGCACCTCCAGCCCCGGCACCACCAGCTCCGCCGGCTCCGCCACGACCACCCCCACCTCCACGGCCGCCAAAGCCGCCGGCACCTCCAACGGCACCACCACCACCGCCACCACGGCCGCCGCCGCCGAATTGGGGAGTAGGAGCTGTTAAACCAGAATCGTGAGTGAAAACGCCCTTCAGGTCAGATCATGAGACTCTTGAAGGCTTACCCGTCAACGCATTGCCGGTGAGAAGGGCAAGAGCCAGAACAGTGAGAGTAGTGTAACGCATTTTGACTGCTGGAAACGAACTAGTGAAAGTTGCCCAGGGAAAAGATTGAAGATGAAGAGCACGAAAAAAATGATCGTCAACGACCTTGTAATCTTGGAATGGAAGAAAAGATGGGCGTGCACAGCACTGGAAAGAACGGTGAGACACACAAGGGAAGAGGAGGACTGGATGAAGCGGATGAGGAGGATGGGAGATCAACTGCCCATCTTACGGCGGATCGTCTTGGGTCTTTTATGTGCTGTGTGCTCTTGGAACCACCACTTGCCGAAGACGGGGGAATAGGAGAATGAGGAGGGTCACTTCTCGCTTGACCTTGCCATCTGGATCCCACCCCAAACCATCTCGGCCGATGTCGAACAGCAATGGTAGGTAGGGACGCCAAGATGCCAGTTCTCGGCGGACGAAATTTGGGAGAGGAACGGTCTTGGGGGCTACATCACAGCCGCCCAACTTGCAACATTGGAAGTTTAGATGGCATGTCGTCCCAAACCGAGCATTGACGTCTGACGGGATGGAGACCCAGAGCCAAGAGCCCCAGTATGGGATGACTTCCAGTCGCAGGGACGAACAATCGAATTATGTAAAAGGTAAACAAAACGTCAAGGCCATCTGGTGTGCCTGGCTCACAAGCGACGGGCGGCTCCTGCAGACTGCAGTCCACCCACCCCCGTTCCCGGGGCCGTCACTAAGCTTCAATTCATGGCTAAATTTTTAATTGGAACCTCTCACCTCACGCAAGCCTGGTTCCTGCAGCGATGGCTGTTTTGGATTGTTCCTTGGCTCGCGGCCCGGAGAATTTGATCTGCGGAAGACGGGGGGTGCTGAAGCACGGAAAGGGAAGGGGATGATGGGAACTGGGCGGGTGCTGTGACGGTGTCACGGTGGCCGGGGGCGGGCCCGGGGAGGTGGTTTAAGGTGATTGAGCCGGCGGCCCCCCCTTTCCCCGCAATTTCTTCTTTTATTTCTTGGGTGCTTGTTTCGACGGGTTAGAGATGTGACGGCTGAGCCTGGCGGATTGCGTGGTCGATCTACACGTAATGTGGGCTGGTGAGAGTGCACAGTGACACCGGGGGTGGGCGTCCGACTTCGGCAAATTCTTGGCTCGTGTTAGGGACTCGGGGGCGGTGATGTTGTTTGCTGGAGCCAAGATGGCAGTTGCTGCAGGTTGGGTCCGGGAAGGGGGGTTCTCAAACATCTGGAACCTGTTGGCGATGGCCGTTTGGTGCAGTGGCGGGTTGTGGGGAGAACTTTTATCGAGAGGTCGGGCGCTGGCGCTTGCGCTGGCGTCTTGACATGATGATGAGAAGTATTTCAGCATGTGCAAAGTTGGCGTGACATAAACAAAGCAAGAGGGAGAACTAATCATGCGCCTAGGTAAACCAGAAGAGTATGTTTTCATGCTCTTTTTAGGTACTCTCAGCGACAGGTTCGCGGATGCATGTCAACCAACGTCTTGACTGAACAAGAAAACAGTTGATGTCAGCGGCAGATGATGCCCTTGGCAGCGCATCAACTTTTGACGATCCTCCTTGTGGAACCCATCCAACAATAGCAACAAAAAAAGACGGATGAGCGATCAAACTGCAAAAAATTGGGCACAATTGGCGATCTTGTATGTCAACTGTTTCTGGTTTTTCCCGGAAGGAAATCCAAGGAAGGTCGTCAGTCAACGGGTTTGCGTATGAAGCGACCCAAGAGGTCAGTTTCGGTCGCGAAAAAAGCAAAAGGGAAGATGCGGCCAGTGTGGATTGAACACACGACCTTCAGATTAAGTGATTGAAGTTGACTTCAGTCTGACGCTCTCCCAACTGAGCTATGTCCGCCGATCTTCGGAGGTGAGGCGCAAAAAGATGGCTGATATCGTGGGCCGAGCCAGAAGGGTGCGAGCCCTGGCGGTTGACTCGTTGTGGGCCCGGGACACGTCCGATGCCTCACCGAGCCGGCCATGTTACTTCCATGCTTGACCTGAGGAAGGCGCTGTGACATGCTCCTGCTTTCAAGGCATTTCCTAACCACCCGAGGCAAGAAGGAGCGCGTGGTGGATGGATTGACGAATCAAAATAATGAGGAAAGTGTGAATTTGCGACGCCGAAGAAAGAGCAAACGAGACACTTGCCAGCGCAAGACCCGGGCTGTCCAAAAACGGAATGCAACAATGACACTATTCATTCGAATGATTATGAACCATACACGAGGCAGTCGTGCTTTGCTGTCCTGTTCACCTCCTTCCAAACTCAAAGAAATCAGGTATGGATGTTTTGCGCCTTCCCAATCGCCATGTTCATGTACCTCCCAAGGTATGCCCAGTCGTCCTTGCCTATGTTCATGCCAACTACCTCCTCAATCTTCATGAATCCGGGCATCTAATGTTTCTTTTTCCAGATCAGAATCCTTACCGACCGAACCTCCCGCCTAAATAAACCCAATTCGGAACTCGTCTGCAATCCCCGTCGGCGCCCTCAGCCCAAAGTCCGGCCTTCTGTGGTCTCCATAGTCTGGCCGTCTTTGATCGCCAAACTCCGGCTTTCTTTGATCCCATCTAGGCTCGCGCGAGGAGTGACCCGCTGGCACGCTTGATTCCGGGCTCATCTGTACCTCGGACCTCTCAGTTGGCGTGTACGGTCTCCTCCCAGAACTCGTCCCGAATGTCGGGCTTGCCAAGGGACTCGGCAGTGGCCAGTTTGCATCACCTGAAGGCTCAGCTACCAAACTGCTCGGGGTTGGCGGTTGTTGCACCGCCTGCATTGGAGGAGAGACCATGGCGAAGCTTCCGTGCTGTACGTCCCGATCGCCCCATCCTGGTTGCCGGAACTGAGGGTTTGATGCCTTGCGTTCCAGTTCGACAGGTGGCGGAGCCTGGCGTCTGTTTGCCGGGGTGATACCGTAACTGCGCTCTCCCTCCCCTGGCGCCACCCGTTTTGAAGCTGGCGGAGGGCCGATATATCCCTGCGATTGGCCGTTTCGATCGTTCCTGGCAGCTGGAGTCTCTGGGCTAACCATCTCTTGGGGATCCGAATCCTGCCTCTCCCGGCGCTCCAACGTCCGTCCACGGGCATCAGAGTTCGTTCTCCCCCTCGGCTCAAAGTTTGGTTTCTCTCGTGCATCCGAGCCCATTCGTTCCCTGGCCTTAACCCATTCGTCGGGGGGCCTAGCTGGGCTTCTCAACGGTCCCTCGTACGGAACCTGGCGGGGCCTCGGAGGGGGCGCACCAGGGCTTGACAACCCCGCACTTTTTGCCGCCTGAACTCGAAGCGGAAGAAGAGGCAGACTCTTCAGCTCCGGTGGCGATGGTCGAAGCGCGCTTCTCGGCGGTGGGCCCGTCGGCGCGGTGTCGTTTGGCTGTTTTGCACCAAAGTTGAGACTGGTCGGGTCTTCATCAATGTCCATCGAAAAGCTCTGCCGTCTTGGTGAGTGGTACGTTAGTGTGTCCCGTTTTGCGGCGACATTCTGAATGATGGGCCTAGGATATCGCCGCTCCTCTTCACTGGTGCGCTCGGCCGATGCTGTTGGAGAAGGCAGAGAAGTCGGCCCAGGCCTATAAGCGTCACGGGTTGTGTTGACAGCGGCGATCTTTGGCTTGAAATCAGTCTTGATAGGAGGAAGGGACCCATTGACCGACTGCGGAGGAGATGGATACGCTTTGGCTGGCGACAGGGGCGCCGGTGTTAGTTCATCATGCTTCGGTATGTCTCCAGGGTTCAAGTTGAACTCGAATTGACCGAGAGGACTTCGGGGCGCATTTGAGACACTCGGCGCGGCGCTCGGTGCGAGACTCGGTGCGAGACTGGGCGCAAACCCGGGAGACCGGGGGCCACCTGCGGAACCCGCCGGGCTGAGAGCACCGTCACGAGCATAATGTACATCGAGAGGGTGGACCCAGCCGGCCTTGCGGCCAGGCGAGTTCGGGGTTCCTGGCTCACTGGTGATGATGGGTGGGGTTGGCATGATTTTCAGGTTCGTTACTGAACCGTTCTTCCAGCCCTTGTTCAGGTTGCTCTCAGATCCCATGGGACGGACACCACCCTTGCCACCCGGGGCACTGAGATCGACCAACGAAGATGAACCTCCATTCAAGTACGGTGCATTCGGATGACGGAAATCGGCGGCGAAGTTCTTGTTCGACATGGCTGTCCCAGGACGCGAACCATACAGCGATGCGCCCCCGGCTGCCATTTGTGCATTGGGGGGCATGAAATTGTCAGGCATGTTGGCGAAGCTTCTATTCGACATTGATGTTCCAGGGCGGGAGCCATTGATCATAACGGGACGTTTGAGGTCAGTTCCGAAAAACTGACCCTCGCCGAGCATGTTCTGATCGATCTTCTTCCGCTGCTGTTGCTGGGGCCTCGGCTCTGGTGCTTTCTCAACCTTCCTGCAAAGAATTAGCTGTCGGTACCGCGACGAGATGATTGGGAGCGCACTTTTTCTTATCCGCACCAAATTTCATCCCCAGGAACGACACCATGGCTGCGGTAATTTGTCTCGAGAATCTGCGAGCGTCAGCCGAATTACTCGACAAAGAGGGGTCCGGAGGGGCGTACTGCACAAAAGTGAAGGTACAAAATGAGAGCTATGCACTGAATGGGTCCCGATCCCGGAATCGGACGACCTGACCAAAGACTTTTTTTTAAAAGAGAATCCAGCCAGACAAAATGAGGGGAGGATCAGTTCAAAGTCGCTCGAGGAATGAGTGGATGGAGCAGTCAATAGCTCCGATGACGAGCAGCGGGAGCGTGAAATGCGACCGAGCAAAAGAGTGTCGTGGAAAGAAAAAGAGCGGCCGTGGTTATTGCATATGGGCCATGTCGTGTCTTCCCGGGTGACAAGTCTGTTTTGCAAAGTGTGGAGGATGCGTTGGGTGATGGACAAGGGCGACGATCCTTATTCGCGACCCCAAGACAGTTGATCCGTTGCAGGTTCAGGGGGTAAAGAGTATATCTTTCCCAAAGTGGGAGCCCGGGAAAAGACGAATTGGTTGGATCAATGGACAGGGCAGAGCTCTGGTGGGGTGTTTTTGGGTCAGCCAAAGTCGAGCGAGGGCGGACGAAAGAGTTGGACTTGTGTGAATGGAAAAGAAACGAGTGGTGAGTCCTTGCTTGCGATGTCTGTCTGGCGTAAAGAGTGGTGAGACCGAATATTGATCCCTTCAGAAACAGGTACAAAAGAGAGGATGGCAAGGAGTCGAGGACAAGAAAGACAACGGAAACATGGTTGCCAAGTCGTTTTCGACGAGGAGGACGGGAAACAAAAGTCAATGGAAACAAGCCCGTGACGGGGACCATGATCCGGAGCAGGCCGAGCTATTGCGACGTCGTCGCGGTCGACAGAGAGGGTGGACCACGACCGTGTGCTCTGTGGAGATGACGAACAGGCCTCTTCCTAAGCACATTTTACCTCTTTGGGCTGGCGGTTTAATGAAACGGCAGCCCGGTGAGAGCGCGACAACACGACACCGTCGAAAGGTCCCTCGCCGCCCCGACTGACGGCCGTACTAGCAACTGTGCGTTGCAATTTCAACCCTTTGCCCCTTTTGACGTAGGTTCGCTTCCTTTGAACAGGGGCTCCACGCGTGCACGTCAATACACTTTGGGAGGGTGGAGGGCGGCCGGCCGAATGGGAAGAAACGAGTCCTTCAGGCACCGCTGCGCTGCACCTGCAAGGAGACTGCAGACAGGGCTCAGGCACACCTGGCACTAAGCCGGCGCGAGTTGTGACGAAGTCCGAATAGGCTGCAAAGGGAGCCAACAGGACGTCGAGAAACCAGCAAGACCCCTGGAAAACCAAGAGCTGCAAAGCGGCCAAAGCCTTACCTACAATGCGATTGACCCCGGATGAAGGGTCGAAAACGACCTCGTGACGACGAGCGATAAAGCGACACAGCAACTGATAAGTGCATCCCCGGAAAATACCACCTGAATGGGACCCCAGGATCAAGGGTGTCTGCAACAGCACCCGCGAACTCATCTCTTTTGAGTTTCCCGCAGTGATAGAACTCTTGTCGCTAGTCATTCGCATTGAATGTTGACTCCATCGTGTTCGTCGTCGTGTCTGCTTGTTGCTGCGAGCTTCGGCCAACTGAAAGGTACATTACTCACCTGCCTTACGGCTCCCATCCACCGCTTACACTGGGGACCAGCTAGTGCAAGCTTGGAGAACAAGCAAGGGGCATTTAGCCAGGCTTATCAAAAAAGGAAACAAGACGCCAAATGGACAACGCGCGATGAATGGGGTACGTACTGCAAGGTGACTGGAAATAGGGGTTTTCCCTGGACTTGTGCCGTCTTTTTAGCTTTTGGAAGCTGAAGCTTGCTGGGCCGGGCAGTTCATCCGAGCATTGATGGGACCTTGAAACTCCCAGGTTGGACGACGGCAATGGAGTTGACGGAAACCCAAAGGACCCGACGATTCGACAATGCACTCCGATCATTCCATGTCGATACGGGGAATGCCATGACCGCTGACATCAGAATACCCGGTGCAGGTGGATCAGACGACGTCAAAACGTGTCCGAACTTCGATTGAGATCTTCAGGCACAGCCAACACAGCGAAACATTGTATCCTGTGTTTTGGGGTTTCCACTGCCCGACCCTCTTGTTTTCGGGAGTCGTGCAAAATGTGGTCTCGCCCTAGACAAAAACCTCCGCCGGATCGTCCACTCGTTCTTCCGCGGCTGGGTTCTTCCCAGGGCGAGTCTCGAGTCAGCTTGATTATGTTCAATGAGGGTGTCGTTCCCTTTCCACCCCACCACCACATAGTCGATAATCCAGCAAGGGCAAATAACCTCAAACAAACTATCTCGTCCCTATCTTCTTGAACCGAGGAGAGGGAAATGGGGGTGGGACGGCGGCCGATGCAAACACCAGAGAAATAGGAGGAGGCGCATTCTCGCCCCTTCTTTGGATCGTTGGGATGCGCTGGTTCGTGAAGAAATTCGCAGCTGGCTGCAGAGAGCCACGAGCTGTGCCGTGCCTGGCTAAGAGGTAACCCCTTCAGCTGACAGCTTGTCAATAGCGTCGCCGCCTCGATTTCGCGCCAAAACCGAGCCGCGCCAACAACTACTGCACCCGCTCGGCCGTTTCCATTTTAACCCGTGAAAAATGAGACTTGACTTTCATGCGAAAAGATTTTCCCTCTCTCCCTCCCCTTGCTCACTCCCATCAACTTCTTGATCGATCATTTTACCTTATCTGCTCCCGATCTGATCTTGGCATGGCTGGGATTATCCTTCGGCCTCTGCCGTGCGCCACGAGGCAAATGCATGTGTGTAGCGAGAGTTAGGATGGAAGGGAAAAGGGGAGGGGGCAAGCCACGACAGACAACGAACATGAGGGTACTGCCAGCTCGACTCGGCCGTTCCCTGTTTGTCAGGCACGGGCGTAGTCCGCTCGCAGCAACGATACGAGGAATGGGCTCCTTCAGGTGAGCGAGTGACACTGACAGGCACAGGTAAGAGGGCAAAGGGACGGATGGGCACATTTGCCGACCAAGCGGAAAGGGCACTGCGATCGTCGGCTTGGCACAGCTTGAAGCCGCGATGTGAAGATGGCTGGTGTTTGTGTTATTTGCAGTCAACTGCGTTCTCGTGCGTCTTATGTCACCAGACGAAAAGGTTCCCTAACCGTCCCAATTTCCCGTCCCACTCGTGTCCGATATTCCCTGAAGCCAATGTCTGATCTAGATGAAAAGTGTCATGCGTGTAATATCGCCCGATTAAAAAGAAGAAGAAACAACGGGCCCCAGACTGATCCATGAACTCCTCCCACGATCCATATACCCGAGGCTAAATAATCAATCTAACAAGATGGCGATCTCAGCCGGCATCTAGAGAAGTCTTGCTCTACTGCTCAATCTCGCTGTTACGCTCTCTCTATTTCAGCAGTCGCCCTTCCAATTCTCCTTGATCCACTCGCCCATCTTATAGGTGAGTGTCTCGTCGGAATACGTCAGCACGTCCTTGTCGCTGTAGTCGCCCCCGCTGAACTTGAGGGCGACGATGACCCACTGCAGGATGAAGTCGATGAAGACGAGGTCGACCTTCTCCGGCTCGCCCTCCTTGGGGAAGTCGATGGCGGTCTGGATGCAGTTGGGCACGGGGAAGGACGGGATCGGGGTGTGCTCCGTGTCGTCGCCGTCGGTGCCGAGGTCGTCCTTGGTGGTGTACCCGCTGACGAGGTCCGGCTTGGACTTTTCGTCGTCGGCGAGGGGGTGCTGCTCGGAACGGAGCTCGAGGCGGCGGGGCTCCTGGTCGGACTCCGCCTTCTTCATGGCGTTGAGGATGTCGCCTGTGGGGTACATCATCTCGGGGATGTTCATGAAGCGCGCGTCCTGCGTGTCGGCCTCGAAGATCTTGCCGGCCTGGTTGAGCAGGTCGAGGACGCGCTTGGCGACGCCATAGGGGACGTCGGGGATGTACTTGAAGCCGCTGGTGAAGGGGGACACGATGAAGGTGCTGTCCTTGGTGAAGGCGCCCTTGAAGATGTCGAAGCGGATGCCGCCCGTGTTGACGATGGCGAGGCGGGGCACGTCCTTGCGGTCCTTGTTGTGGATGACGGCGGGCAGGACCTCCTTCTCGAGCCAGGTGTAGATGCTGTCGTCGCTCGGGTACTCGACGCGGTTCATCCACAGGTCCTTGGGCGCGCAGCCGTACTTGTAGTCGAGGTCGAGCGCCTTGCGGGCCTTTGTGATCATGGCGCTGACGTTGCGGCCGTGGTCGGTGGGGAAGGTCGTCTCGTTGAGGCCGGTGTGGTGGTGCAGGCCGTATAGATTGTTGTCGATGTACTTTCGCGTGAAGGAGACGGCCTCGGCAGAGACCTCGTCGGACTTCTTGGACCTCTTCTTGATGTTGTCGACGGACATCCAGCCGATGGTCTCAAAGTAGCGGCCGCTCGCCATGGCGAAGGCGTCCTTGTCGAAGCTCAGGGCGTCGCGGACGTGGGCGTGGCCGCCGAAGATGGCAATCGGCACGCTCCAATTCTCCTTGCGCAGGGCGGTGTAGATCTTCTTGAGCTCGGGCATGCGCAGGCCGACGTGGCCGATGACGACGAAGAGGTCGGGCTTCTCCTCGGCGATGAGCTTGGTGAACCACTCCTCCTTGAGGGTGTCCTCGACGGGCTGGACGACGGTGTTGTTCGCGTTGCCGGTGAAGTCGAAGAGGAAGCCGAGGGCGATGACGTCGAGCCCTTGGTTCTTGGTCTTGAAGCGGCGGAAGCGCTGGGCCTGGGGGATACGCTCGCCGGTCTTGGGGTCGATGTAGTCGAGGTTGGAGGCGATGTAGTTTTCCTTGTAGTTGGGGACGGTGATGTCGTGCTCGCGCTGGGCGGCATCGGCCATGTAGAGCTCGTGGTTGCCGGTGCAGATGAGGTCGACGGTCTGCTCGCGGAAGACGTCGTAGGTAAAGAGGCCCTTGGGGGCGGAGGCGTCGTAGAGGCCGTTGCCCTCGACGCGGTCGCCGGTGTCGACGACGAGGAGGTCGGCGCCACGCTCGTCGGCCTTGCGGCGCATGTGGGCGGCGAAGGAGACGTAGTCGCCCCAGTCGGCGGAGTATTGGGGTTCGAGGAGGTGGCCGCCGTGCCAGCCGTGGGTGTCGGTCGTGTGGAGGAAGTTGAGCTGGCCCCAGGTGAGATCACGCATCGGGGCGGCGACGGCGGGGGCGGCGCCGGGTTGGGCGGCGGATGCGAGGGCCGCGGAGAGGAGGAGGGAGAGCATCGTCGGTGGTTGATTTCGAGCCATGATGGGTGGTTTGCGTTTGGTGATGATAGATGGATGAGGGGAGCGGAGGAGGATTGGGAGGAGGAGGGAGAAGCTAAGGTAGCTGTCGAACAGCTGGCTGATAGTCGCCGGTCTCGCTGGGAATGCTACCGTTTGGGGACGAGTCACGGTCACGGGTGCCTGAGATAGCAACGGGCGGGAGCTGCTGTGAGCTGCCCCGGAAACCCGCTACGTCAGCGATGATCCCTCAAGGTTGTTGTTAAGGAAGTACCTTGTCGATATGAGCGAGTTTGAGAGAAGGATGGGTTTCGGCTAACAGAAACAAAGTGAAACTGAGATGGCGCAGAGGTGTTGTGGGCCACGTTAGGCGGAACGATCCCCGGACCTGCATGAGCTTGGGCCAGCTGGCAGCAGGGACCTGTCGCCGTGTGGGGACCGGTGTCCTCGTGGCCATTCAGGCCGATGCAGTTGCTCAGCTTCTTATCGGGCACTGATTGAGCTTCTCCTACAAGAGACCGCTTACTATCGCCTTGTTTCACGAATATTATGTCTTCCGCAGAAAACGTTTCCCGACATTGTAGATTTGAAGGCTTTGGTAATATATATATGTATGTAAGAGGGCAGGGACGACGACAGAGACAACGATAGAGACGACAATATCGACGTGGATCGAGACGATGGCATTTGACTAAGGGAACAAAGCTTCTCTAATATGTTCTTTCAAAAATTTTGACTAGTTGATCATTGATCGGGTATCTAATGTTGTCTATACATTACTCATAAGTTGACAGGTATCAATTACTTCACGACGCCTCAGCTTGTTGCTATTTTGCTATGCACAGCATACCTCTACTTTGAATCCGAATCTGAGACGGAATCAGAATCCGATGGTGACTCGTCTGCCTCAGTCGAGAAAGGCCCAAGCAAGATTTTCCTGACGTCCTTTTTGGCATCTCGAGTATCGACAATGTCTCTGTTCAAAAGTCAGCCATATTCAGTGGCTAGATTCCGGGGAACGTACCTTAAGAGACCCAGATTATTGTCCAGACGCTTTAGGAGCGCTTTGCCACGTCGATCTGCCTTGCTTGGCGGGTCTTTGTAGAAGCCGATGAATTGGACCATCGCCCAGTTGGCCTGCTTGTTCTTCTCAACTATGTGCTTCACAAGTCGTTCGATCGGCTTTTCGACACCGCAGGTGGTTGAGGAGTTCCTATTGTCCCAGTGGCCATTGGTCAATACGTAGAGGCTGACCGGCTGTGTTTCCTCTATGACTCTGCTAGCCACTTGATCGAGAATAGAGTGCATCTCGCAACGAAGGCTTGAGAAGTGGTGTCTTTCCACGGCAACTTGAAGATCGGTGCCGTTCTTTGCTCTGATGCACTTGCCTGTGGATGCGAAATACAGTTCGAACTCCTTGTCCGGATCGACATGTCCCCTTTTCAACAGTTTGCTCAGGACCCTACAGGTCCGGGCCGCTTGTTCTCTGTGAGGGCCCATAGATATCGAGTCATCGAGGATGAAGATCTAATGGTTGAGCTGAGTTAGACTTGACCCCAGCCGGACAGGTTGTGGATGCGTACCTGATTTCTCCCGCTATTTCCTCTGAGTCTGCTCAAAGTGTCTTCCAGTGCGGGAAATATTTTCAGAGGATCCTCGAAATCTGAACTCAATCTGAAAATCTTCTTGCGGCCAAAGGAATGTGTGCTTCTGCCCCCTGGCTCAAAACACGCCCTCCAAATTTGATCAATAGTAATGCTTGGCTGTGGCACTGTCTTCGGCTGGAATCTTTTGGAGCTACCAGGTTCTGATGTAGCTCCGTCATTATTGGGAGATGGCTGGGAACGTCTGGTCGAAGAAGGAGCATTTGTTCGCGAAGACTGCGGACTCGGTCCATACGCCCCAGGTTCCTGACCGTTGCTTTCCGTCCGGATAGGTAGAGAGACACCATTTGCTTTGATCGGTGTAGTCGATGGGCTGCCATATTGCGAGGTAGACGAATAAGAAGCAGGGAGCTTTCCCTTCGAGTCATGATGGATTGGTTCGTTCTGCGATCCAAATTGAGGATCACTAGGGCTACCGACAGGGAGTGTGTCGACTGGCTGCGTACTTTCGTGCGCCATGCCATCTAAAGGGTCAATGGAGGGCTCAATGGAATCCGGAGATGCGGTGAAGGATGGTGCAAAAGCTGACTTGCTTGGCTGCATTGACGAAACGCGAGAGTTGCGGGTAATTGGCGACGGATATTGATCCGAATCTCTTGATCCAGCCGGTGTTGTTTGGGACCGAGTTGCCAGCGACAGAGGGGATGCTGGCCACCCTTGCTGTCGTTTCGACGATACGTAGTTCTGAGGGAGAGAGTCCGATTTCAAAGTCGGAATAACGGCCTTGAATTCCTGGAACACTTGCGCTGCAGTCTTTCGTAGGTCCGGTTCAGCAGCGAGCGTGAACTTCAAAATGAGCTGGCTCAACGCGCCGGCCTTGCCACCAGTGAGTGCGACAGCCCGGTCGTGCCATCTCTCGACGACGTGCAACAGCCCATCGCCGTCGTGGAAGGCTCCTTCGTGAAACCCTCCCTTTAACCTGATTTCTCGAGTAGCTTCGACGCGCTCTGCTTGATAAGCTTCTCTCCCTCGCTCTCCCCAGATGGCCCAGATAAAGGCCTCACTAAGGATTCCACCAAGTGAATATACGTCACTCTTGTGCCTAATGGTTTTGGTACTTCCGTCATCTCGAAATGCTTCGGGGGCGCCTGTGAATACGTAAGCTACCTAGGGCTCAGAGGTAATTTTGTCTCAGCGAACATACTATACATTCCGTTGCCAAAGTGATCCACGGCAAATCTGTCTATGCCACCATTTTTCACTTGACGTATATGCGCCAAGCCCATATCTGCGAACTTGAATGGCACAGAGTAGTCTTCATCCGAAGGCTCCCCGCATACCAAGATATTTTGCGGGCGGATGTCTTGATGTGTTCTGCACCCGTTACCGACCTGGCCTGCTATATGGATGGATGGCGTACTTACCCTTTCAGATGCCATGTGTCTCTTGAATGGTCGCCATACTGCGTGAGGTCATCAATTGCCACTAAACCTTCGAAAAGTCCGAAGATGTTTTGCCAGAATTGCGTTCGTTGCCAGTCTGTTCGTGGGATCCTTCGCGTCTTGAAAAAAGAGAGCAGGTCACCCCCGGGAGCATACTCTAGGACGATTGTTCGCCTGTCTAAACATTGAAAAGATCCATGATAGCGCACTATGTGATTGAAAGACTCCTCTTTGAGTTGTGTGTACATGGCCCATTCGTTATCGTATAGCTTTTGGGAGTCCGGGCCAGGTTTGAGGTACTCCTTGAAAACGACCTTGGAGAACATCTCAGCTCGTGTCATCTCTTTCAGGCATTGAGAACTAGACTTACAGAGGCGGTGAGTAGCGTAGACTTAGGATGAAAATCCACTTTGTAGAGAACAGCCATGTCGGTCGTTTCGTCCGCTTCAGGGTTGATTTTCGTCTTTGCCGTAGGTAAAATAGGCAAAATCATGTCAGGCGACAAGTTCTTTTTGCTTGGTTTGGGATTCAGACCAACACTGAAAGGTAATGGGCAAAATTTCCACTGGGCTTTAAGGAAGCTCTCGAACGCCTCTTTGTGACTGGACTCGCGATATGATTCCGGTATTGAAAGTAGCGGAAGGCTAATGTCCTTGATATCCTCTTGGGTGAAAAGCTCCAGGTATTCGGCTCCAGATGTTAAGACCAATATCGAGAAGATCACAATGTAGTGATTCATGATGTCCACGGCGCTATGCAGGATCAATTTGTTTCGGTCGTGACAAAAGACAGCCGTGATCTTTTCCAAGGTCCAAAACTCGGTAAGCGCCAGTTGAGGGACGAATTTCCGCTCGTCGCCATAACCATTGATGCCATAGCATCTATGTCTTTGAATAAATTCGGCGACATGTTCTCGCAGTTGAGTAACGATGTGGTTCTCAGACATCTTCTTGGCTCTCGCGTGGTCGTTTAGTAGGTTTCGAGTTCCGCTGCAGATCCGAGCCAGAGTGAGACGTCGTGCCAGTCGATTGATCGAAATCTGAAGTAGGTAAGAATGAAGGCGAGAAAGAGTAGCGAATGACAATAAATCATGTGAAAATGGCGTTAAAATGCTTGCGCAAGAGTGGGCGACAGTGGCTATAAGGCGCCGATCGTTGGCTGTCTGCGAACTGACAGGTTTTGTCGTTGCCGGTAACTGGAACGCAGCCAGAAACATGCAAATGGCGGGCTGAGGCAACCTTCGAAGGATTGAGGCGCCAGGCATCATCTGCAGGAAGTTTGTGAGAGCCTTTCTACTTTGCGAACTGAATGCCGAGCGGGCTGCCTTGCGGCGACTGAGCCTGCAAGACTGCAGCCCTACAGGCCCTACAGCTGACCTATGAGTCTGGGATCATACTTCCAGCGCTGCTATCCATTGAACAGGCACTTCGCACTAGACAAGGATGTTCTGATGAGATGGTGTGTAGACAAGTGACTGGATTGGGCCCTTACATGCGTTTGAGGGAGGGCTGAAATTTCAGGCTCTGTGTTCACCGAAAGATGCCTACTCAGAAGAGTAAGGTGAAAATGTGCTCCCCGGGTCAGTCTGGCAAACAGCCAGCCAAAGTAGGTGGGCTACGATCAATGAACAAGGCAGACACTTAGGCTTTCCTCCGTATAATCGCAAGGACATTCTATGAAATTGTATGTATACCACCATTAATCCACTTCCCAAAGTAGGGCAGAAGATCCCGAACGCCACAATAAGAAAACCAGCCACTTATCTTACAGTCGTTTAATGTCCTCTTCCCCCCACGTTCCAACACGCTGATCTTTCTCAGCCCGAGCCTGTTTCTTCGCCTTCCACTTCAAACTCACGAATACCACCAACCAAGTTCCGATCGTGACGGCTGTCAATGGCCCACAAACAAGGCCAAAGAGTCGAAAACTCTCCCGCTGAAAACTGAAAGCACCGGTATCGTCGTCCTGGGCCAACACTCCGCTTTGAAAGAAAGTCTGAGAGTGTCAGAAGTTCATAGCAAGCCGCAAAGGTGAGGGCAAACCTCTCTTACTGCAACGAATGTGGCGGGTAGAAAGATTAGGGTTACGACAGTGATGACATGCATAGAAGCTGTCTGTCTGGATGTCTTGTTGGCAACCATATTCATCTGTCTGTTTGATTCGTGGGCAACATCCGCAAAATCCATTCCAATCTGATTCGATCGCTGCTGCAGGACCAGTTCGTACTTATTTGGTCAGTCTCAGCATGTAATCTCTTTTTGATTCAAACTTACCAGCTGAATGCTCTGAGTGAGATGCGTAGAGAGTGAGTTCAGCTGTGCTCGTCTCGTCTCGAGCCTTCTGATGATTGACTCAAGTCTCCTTAGAAAATCATCCACGACGTCTTTATACTTCGGATCTTTGAGTTCAGTCTTCGTTAAATTGCTATAATAGACATGGAGATCACGTAATACCCCAGTGTTCAGCTCCAATACCAAGAGCGACCTCTGCATTAGCTCTGACCGACTGTAAAGAGTCTGAACATCTTTGATACGTAATTTGTCCAGGGATCCGGACGGGTCAAGTCCTGAGTTGAGGGTTTGCCGATGGTTTGCTGCGTTTTCCGATTGAAGTCCCTGTTCCTCATCTGGTTTAGTCGTCTTCAACCCAAAAAATGAGTGACTGAAGGAAAAGACTCGCTCTTGAACCGTACTCGGAGCCCTTTTCTCACTATGATTGCTGGTGAGCCCGGTGTTAGCTCTGGATTGGCCATGCGACATAGTGCGTTGCCTTCGCTTTTGTTGCAATGCCCATGGCAGAACGTCATACTGAGAGGACTCAGGATTGATATGATCATCAACTAGCGCAGTTTTTGCGGGAAGCACGATGTTCCTGATCGAGGTTTCAAAGTCGTTGATGAAGTCACGCCAGCCCTCGTCACACCAGGAAATGTAAAGCAGGTGGGTGTCCAGAGATGCCTTCAGATACGGAACGATATTGCCATCCGCGGTTTCTGGTTTGGTGGGAATTCTCAACCGGGGAGTCAGGTCCTTGATGCGATTCTTGAAAATTTTGTTGGCCTTGATAGTGAACCAGAAAGATCGTCCAGTCTCGAGGTCAAAGGTGTGGTAATTTGCAGCTTGTCTGATCTGCCATCCCTCGATACCCTTTGCCCCTGAGTGCTCGACGGAACGTAACAAGTATGATACGTGAGTTGAATTTCCTGACCTCCCAAACTTCGGAAGTGCGTGAGAAACTGGGGCCTTGCATTCTACAAGTGTCTTTGACCTGAAATGGGCCAGGCAGTAATCGATTGGATACGGTTGTCTTCCGAACGAAAGAACAGCCTCCAGGAAGAAAGGCTCAACTTGGTGATAGGCACAAATGAATCGGAATACTTCAGGAGAGCAATTCATTGGCGATCTAGAGTCGTTTGACCCGATAAAGCTGAAGGCCATCGTTAGCACTCTCTTTTGCTCAAGGATGTTTGACTAAGACTTACACATGGCGGATATGAGGGTCTTTCTCAGATCGAATAAAATGCTTGCGAATCGCATCAGGCTTAGAAAGTGACAGAATATCCTCTGGGAATTCTGAGAAGCGTAAGCGGATGTCTAAAACTCATCGAGGCTCACAGACTATTGCGTAGTCCTGTCTCCCATACGTCCAACTTCGCGCCAGGTGTATTGAAAAGAGTCGGTACCCTTTCCGGGTCACTGAACGGACTCCAGAGCCTCTCGGCCTCGAGAAAATCCAAAGGTTCTCGTTCGTCGGCCTGCGGCATGATGTATTGGCCTGATTCTGACCAAATCCCCACCAATTGGTCATGGGGGTCATGCTGCTGCATGGCGCTAGGCGGGATCTGCACCTGTGTCGACATTTTCCCAGTTTGGAGCTGACGGTCACTGAAAACCCGCCCGCCAAACCCGTCTGATACTGTAAGATTTCAAACGGAAAGCGTAGTTGTTCATTTGGCTGCCTGCAACATCTGGGGGGAACAAGTTTTTATCTTTAGGTATGGACACGAATGTAGGCCAATATCAACGAGGCTTCTCACTCTGCTGGCCTCGGTACTTTTTGGCCCTCACTCGTAGTGGGTGTATTTCCTTCGAGCTTTCGACCACAACAACCCAGAATAGCAGGGCAGACTTCGCCCGAAGTACCTTTACACTGGCATGCCTAAGGCATTAGCTGACACCACCAACTCTATCCCTGCCAACGCCCGACTATCGTAAGCCTAGCCGATATCGTGCAATATGCCTTCATGTTGTAATTCTCGCTGATTTTCACAGCCTGCTAAGGCAGTCTGAGACAAAACCCTCTCTAATCAGACGTTTTCAAGTGTTCAACTTCGCTCTGTGCAGAGTGTCAGAAAAACGTAGAAAACATGAAATTTGATATTGAAGATTGAAGACCTGGCCTAGTACCGGTACATACCGAACTGATGCTTCTAGGAGCCGAAACAACGTAGTCACCATTCTTTGCCTGATAAACGGGAGGCAATCGTTAGAGAAGCTTCTGAAAAACGTCTTGCCGGATGTCTTACTTGGACTGAGCTCTGACCAGCCCCAAACTGGGTGTTGAGCCAACCTTCTAGGTCACTCTGCTTGATTCGGTAGGAAGGAATTGTGGACGTCTCCATGATGAGGCGGAGTCTTTTCCCTGCTTGCGCGTGGTCCTTGTTTTCGGGGAGGTGGGCGCGAGGCAGATTTTCAAGCCAGGCATCATTCAGCTAGACGGTGTGTCGTAATAAATGGAAAAATCGAAAGACCATGGGCATTGGCTTGGCGATACAAAAACGCCAGTCAGTTTACAGAGAGGAGGGTCAACCTAGACGGCTCGGTTTCGTGCTTGTTGAGCCGCATCTGTGTCCGCCTGACCTTCGGTTTCTACAAAAGAGGCAGCTCGCTGCAGGCTGTGGGTTTTCATGCTGTACTACCCAAAATGTTGCGTTGGAGCTGACCAACCGGTGACCTTGAATAAGGGATGAGATGCGCCATCCCCGCCTTGTCTTAATCTACACGCCGATAATCGTCGACTGATGACTTGGTGTGGTTCACTGCAGCACTTTCCACCTTCGTATCTCCAATCACTCATCTCCAGAACCGCCCCCCTGCTTACCGCATATCGGAATCACCACGGGCTATCGTTCCCTACCCAAGGACGCCTCACTGCCGTCTGGATGACTTGCAGCTCAGCCTGCCGCGGCTGCCTTGGTTTCAGTTGCCTCATCGCCTCGTCATCCGTCTGAGCAGCGTGATAACGTCATCCGCAAGATACGCTAACTGCAGGCTTGTGCAATCTCGTTGGCGCCAAGGCAAGGTCAGGTTCCGTACTGACCCTTTATTCCCGAAGACATCTTGAGGAGAAATGACACATTTGGGAGTAAAACTTACCGACTCCATGATTACAGACAGCCTGCAGGACGTACAGGCTCATTCCGAAATTGGAGAGGTTGAAATATGCCATTGATCCTTGTTACTACACCGACCAAACGAAGTCGATTCTCTATCCCTTTCGGTCACATACATAGCATCCAACCCCGACGATCCAAATTATCCCTCTTATTCTCATCGCCATCTCTATTGCTTTTGTCGTATACTTGGCCTCGTCGTTCTTCACTGTCCACCCGGGTCGTGAAATTTGCAGTCGGTGTCGCATACCGATCGCTATGAATCGAAGGAATTCTTGAATCATAGACATCTTAGCTACTAAAAGGATGTTTCAATTTACATCTGACCAGGAACCCGCAAAATTAGTTGAATCCTCTAATTAGCGCACCTTGCTTTCTGTAGCTCAAGCCTCTATCCGCTCTCCAGGATCTGTGTGAAACATCGATAGCCCTTGATCTCTTGAATGAGGCATGCCAGCTCCAGATAGGTTTGAAAGCTTTACGGTATGAGAGAGATGCAATAAGTCGAAGGTACTATGAGAAGCTGGAAAGAACGCTTACACCGCACACCTATCGACATCATGGTAATCATTTAAGAGCACTACAGGCCTCATAAAATCTACGAAAGGGCTCTAGACTCGCAAGTGTGGAAGTTCTCTGGGCGTGGGTTGGTCTGAACGACAGGGCTTCGTGTCTTGGCAATAAAATCCATACCAAATGACTTTTGCTATGCGGGCTGATACTGGTAATAGGACAACGGTAGTAATAAGTACGAAGACTGCGAAGATAACGGCGATAATGATAACGACAATAAGGATAGTAAGGATGATAATTAAAGGAAGAATGACAAGGCGTCATTTTTCAATACAGCCCACAAGTCATAGTCTGCCCGGTAAGCAATCTGTGAAATTATCTGTCCTGATGGCGGAACTCTATTAATTATCGGTTGGAAATGGACGATATAGAAATTTCAGCTTCGAACGTTTCCACGCCGCGTGTATCTACATCTCCCGGACGAAAGATTCCACTACTATCACAGGCATTTTATACGCACGACTAAACAATACAATATAGATGGCCTCTGTCGTCCTGATGCTGTCTCGTCTCTGCCAACGTTTAGTAAGGTTGACGTCGGCAAGCCCTGACTCCTAAGCCTCTTGATAACACGCGACGGGGCCTTCGTTGAAGCATATTGGCCAAATAGTTCATTAACAGGACTGGAATTGAAGCACTTGCTTTTGCATGATCCAAGGCAAAGGTAATTAGTCGTAATCAGGGCTAGGATAGGTCGTCGTCTCATCAAAACTTCGTTCTCAATACCCTGCTCCCAAGAGCTAGGTTGCTCTCTCGTTGGGCATAACGGGTGATGGCCCTCCGTAGGCAACGTCATGTTTGCCGCTCGTAGGACTGATGCTGGAGTTGGGATACTGCAACTCGGCTCCATTTCCAAGTTCAGCAGGCGGTAATGCAGGTGAGGTAGCTGTCATCGTCGGCGATGACACCTGCGTATTGCCCCAGCCGCCATACATCGGCCCCTGATGAGCTTGACCATGGTGATACGCCATTGACATTCCTGCCCCTGGAGCAAGTGCGGAGGCGTGTCTCTTCCTGGAATACGTCCGCCGGCGACGGATGAAACAGAAGCATCCCGCCAGCACTAGCATGAGAGCCACGCCACAACCAACCGCAATGCCTGCTATGGCCCCCTTGCTCAGCCCAGAAGATGGAGTGCTAGGGTTTGACGAAGAGGAGGTAGCGAAGCTGACAGGGCGCGTTGGCGTTCTAGTTGCCGGCGTCGCCTTGCGTGTCATGAGGACGGAGAGGTCTGGGGCATCGAAGCCGCTGGTCGGCGCCGTCCGTGTCGCGCCGCCGCCGTCACGGCCACCTACAGCTGTCAAAATGTCTGTGGGTACAGCGTAAGTGGTCAGACTAGGCAGGTAACGCAGCCAGATAGCATTCTCATCGTTATCTTGCCCTAGGTTCATGTTGTGTGTGCCCCAGACATTGTCAGCATCGCATGAGTAAGTTGTGTCGTTGGAATAGGAACCTCCAATGACAAGCATTTGTGAGTTATCGACCACGTTGCAGCTCATCATGCTTTTGGGGAATTCCCCCGTGACGTTGCTATTCGCCGGGTATGGACCTCGGATCCACTGAAAGCTGGGGATGGTGAGGATGTAGATATCGTCGTATCCTGTAGTGTCTGGAGGGAACCCTGCGCCGCCGAAGATGTAACTGGGATGAGGTCAGTTTCAGGTCCAATAGCCTTTCTGAAGGCATGGACTTACATGTTGTAGCTGGACTGGTCTTGGGCCCAGGTCGCACCGCCACAGAAACGCCTCCGTATTTCGGGAGTACGACCGGAAGTTTTCTGCGTGTACCACTTCGTATTCGCGACGTCGTACAGAAAGATCTCATCCATGGGTTGTGGTGTCAGGGTCCCATTGCCGTCCAGGTCTTGACAGCCACCGAAGTAGACCAGCATTCCAGCATCTCCGATTGGAATGAAGACCATTACGCCTTCCGCCCTGCCGACGTTGTCGGGGCCTGCGACGCTATTCCAAGAGTTCTTGTCCATGTCGTACTTTACAAGTCTGCTCGTGGCCTTCGGCGGACCTGTCCATCCTGGAACAGATGCGTTGCTCTGCCACCCCCCGTAGTAATACGCCTCTCCTCTTGATGAGATCGAGACTCCGGCGCCATAACTAGCTGCATTGGCGTTTCCAGCGCCAGTGGGAGACCCAAGTGACGCCCAATTGTTGTAGAGGATATCGTAGCTGTAGAGAACGAAGGCGGCCGGTGGCTCCTCGTAGTATTCACCCCCGTAAAGGAACAATCGCTTGTTCACTGAGTCTTCCCATAGAATGCCGCCGCTTACACTGGGTATCGTCGTATTCTTGGAAAGGCCGTCGTGGAGCTGGGGCATTCCCAACGTTGAAGGTACGTCATCGAGGTCATTGTACGCGAGTAAGGTATCTGCTTTCTTGTTACAACCTGTTCAATCAACTGCGTAGCCAGGTGTGAGCCCAGAAACCTACTGCTGAAATTTCGAGATGATGATGAGAAGGGTTTGTAGTTGATCAGGCCCCCGTCAATGTATAACCTACGGTCCACGACCGCCGACTGGTGCCCCCATCTCCGACAGAAGTCCCGGACAGGATCATTTTGCGCAACTGAGGTCCCAATAATGCACCACGCGAGTAGCAGGATAATGTCTCGTGACGCTGGCCATAAGAGGTTCATGATGTCGCATTCAAAAGTCAGCAACGAGTCTCGTTCGGGAACCGTTCCGTCACTAGTGTCTCAGTTGATGAGTGGATAGCCAGACTTTAAATAAGTGCAAATTTTGCACAAGGCAGGCTGAACTGCAGGTGAGCAATCCCTCTGACTGTTGATAACGAATACTCGCCGCACGTAATTTTAATGGGTGACATGGCTTGCATAACTCCTCAGCCGGCCTGAAGTGAGCGACCCGAATGGTCCAACTTGCCCGAGCACAGAATTCTACCCAACAGCGTTCGCTGTTGGCTCGGTAGAAACTCGCCCAGCTGGCGAATCCCGTTGCGGACGCTGTCAGCCGCAGTGGTAGCAGATGGCTACGCTGACTGCACCAGACCGGGATGTATCTAGGCCGGTGTAACTTGGAACGATGTGTGGTATAAATACAAAGAGGAGACGGCAGAGTCGTTCTCTGTTTTGACACATAGAACAGCCTGCTCGCACTGTTCAAAGCCGGCTGCGTAACACACAGTTGACGGGGAATGAACTGAGTCTGAACCAGACAATCCGTAGGCGTATTTCTGTGAAATTCCAATTCATTGCTCAAATGTGTATCAACCTCACTCGTACACTTTCCTTCCTCTCCTCACCTTATAGCGCAAGTACAGCGACAAATGTACACGACGCACCTAGCTGTACGAAGGCGGGGCTGAAATCTGTATTCTCCGGTATACGGGGGCCCCTAGTCTTGTATTCTTCCCTTTCCGCCCGAGCCATGCATGAGATTCCGGATGGCCAACAAAGCCTGCGAGGTAAGACGGCAGAAGTCGTCTGACAGGCTTGAATCCTGCAGGATGCCACGGCGCTAGTCACCAACATTTGACAGCCACTGGAAAGGCATTCCAAGCGACCAGGCTTTGGCTTAGTAGTGGTAATTGGACTGAAGTCAACACGAGGGGGTCCATTACCGCAAGTTCAGAATTCTTATCCAGGCGACGATCGCGGCAATCAATGGTCTGCCCCATTATTGACCTGGTTGGATGCATGGCATCATCAAGTGGTCTGGGGGATTGGGGGGAGCAAACAGGTTCTACTCAGAGTATGCCTCATGCCACCAGAAAGTGATAATATGACGGCATTATCTGAAATATCATAACTACACAGTGACCATACAATGCCTCAGTCTTGTTGGTCATTCCGCTCGGTTGCGGAACGAAAAGATCATTCTTTTGGATGGAGGGGCTGACCTTGGCTTAGTTCTCGCTATCGCACGAATGACTGTACTCTTGGTATCGGCGGAACTCGAGCATTCGTTCTGGTTTCAGCAAGGCCTATGTAATACATAAGGTATGATATAGACCTTGAAGAAAAGCCCATGGTATCGTAACTTCGAAAGTTCGGGTCAGCCGCCCTTTCTTGGGCACTTACCACAAAGGGGCCGAGCAATTGCTTCTCTCCGCGGGAATGGTCGGAACGCATTCTGCTTGACATATTGTGAAATTCAGTGGCACCTTTCCACTCAAGAAAAACTCCCGGATAACCTTCGCGGTGCATGAGTTCACTCCTGCCCCAGTTACACCGTGGCCTGCCGATTCCTGAATTACAACACCCGAGCCCACATGTTGTTTCTGCAAGGTGAATGCATTGGCCACAGGTGTGGCGGGATCCAAACGCGAAGAAGTGATAAGTAATGGGGCCTCAGGGGCATTCGGATCACTGGCGTTGGCTGCAGGACTACCGAAAGGTCCAGTGAAGGTGTAGGGTGGCCGAATCTTGCGGTCGGCGCACGCGATGACACGGTCACCCCACGCGACGCCGGTTGTTGGAGCTTGTGTGTCGAGTATGCGCACCAAGTCGTCGGAGACTGAGAGTTTGCGATCTGCTACACCGTCAACAGCATCGCTGCAAACAATACCGTATGCTACATCTTCGGACCAGGTATAGGGAGGCGCCTCGTCGTGGGATGCGGTGCCGCCACAAGTGATTTCAGGGGCGTCACCCGATATTATGTCAAGAAATGAAACGTATTCGCCAGTAATTAGGGCTCCGAGGCCAAGGGCAAGTAGCTCAAATCTAGCGGTTTGGTAGATTAGAGTCAAGATGAGAAGCCGAACAGCAGGTGATGTAATCAAATCAATTTTGCCGCCGTGTACCACTGAGATTGGGCGGAGGTCGAGAGCGTTGAGAAACGTGTCAATACGGCTCTTTATATCGGCAGCTTCCTTGTCTGATGACAATCGAATTGGACAGCCGTCGCCAGAGTCATAGCAAATTTGGTAGAAATACTGAAGAACGATCTCGGCATCGTTGAGATTTTTCTGCCAAGTCTTGAAGACAGTTAGATGATATGTAGCAGAGTTCGGAAATTTCTAGGAATGACTTACAACTTTCGTGTAATCCTCGGCATCCACGATTCCGTCGACCATGATTCGTCCCACCCGCTCAGGGAACATGGAAGCGAATGTGTTTCCCAGGAAAGATCCATACGATATGCCGATGTACTGCAGTCTGGGCTTCGGAGTATCCGCCGGTTTTGTTAAGTTGCGGTTGTGCCAGCGAAGGTCGTCGATACGGTCGATAATCTCAACCATATCTCTAGCAACTGACGCGGTATTGAGGTGACTCCAAATACCATCGACGCCATCAACCTCACAAAGCTCACTTTTTCCTGAAGCAGATGCATAGTGATAGTTGAGAGCATTCAAATCCTCCGTGATAGGACTGAGACCTGTGTTGCGCTCTTGGTCTAGCTTCCGAGAGAGTTCATCGCCTTTGTAGCAATCCCCATGAGGTGTAGTCAGATTCACACCCCGAGGGTCGAAGCCAATAATCTCATAGTTGCGTTCACCAGCCAAAAGGCTCTGGAACCTGCTACCTGAACGAAGCAGCAAGTCTGTGCCAGAATCTCCGGGGCCTCCAGGGTTGATCAGGACACTTCCACCGAATGTTTTGTCGCCCTCGGAAACTGTGGCCGGAAGCTTTATTATGGCGACAGCAACCGTCGTGTTTGTCTTCAAGTTCGGGTTGGGCCAGTCAAGCGGAACTTGCAGTCGAGCGCATTGAAAGCTTCCGTAACAGTCGTAATACTTCAGCTCTTTCGAAGGTGGGGTTGAAACCCAGCTGAAATCCGTAGAATTCGAACTGGTGTCAAAGGCAGTCTGGCCGAGGGCCGCGAATGCTCCAATTAGAGTGAATTGAAGTTTCATCTCAATATTTTCTCCGTCGTGCAATTCGAACACGAGCATAGAACAAAGTGTAATTGAATTGTCACAAGAAAGCCCTGTTAGCCTGGCGACGTTTTATTCTAAGCATTGAATCATGTTTGTATGGAGGGTCTGACGGAATCACTTCCATGTCGATGCGCACAGTAAGCCGCCGCTGAACAGTTAATGAGTCTCATTAATGTGGCAGCGATGAAAAGAAGTCTGAATACCAGTTTCTGTTACCGCATCACGAACACCTACGCCGCATGACTACTTCACGATACCCCACTGTGCAGTAATTTGACAGGCCAATCGCATCTAAGTTGGATTTAAGGACGAATCCTACTGGCTGATTGTCATGCCATCACAATGCGTGGCTGCTGACTGCGAGCTGAACCGCAGCTACGCGTAGCTGCTGCCGCGTCTTCGGATCCTACGGCAAAGGTACCCTTGAGGACTAATAGGCTATTACGCAGTGGGCGTGGATGAATTATTGGTTCATGTAGGCTTACGGGAGAAATTGAAGGAACGTACATGTCGTTGTCCAGGCTTAGAGGGCTGAATGACGGAATGGCGCCGTACCAAAGCTCTGTCGGATGAATGTTACATCTGTTGTGCCTTACCTAGCCAATGTTGTGAAACCTGGTATCAACTTTCTTGACTTTGCGTCATCTAATATCGTGGCTTCGCTCTTCGCGCCTTGTCGTGAAGGCGATGCAAACGCGCGAGAGTCCCACGGCATATGTGAATGAACGAAAAGGTCGACTAAGGGGGCCACAAGACTAGGGACAGCGGGCATCACATTAAATGAATGAAGGCTGGCCAGCAGATATGGTCACACAAGTTCTTCAGGAAAAGTTGTTTATTAAGCAAGACATACTCATGTTGCGAACTCATGTGCAAGTAAAGCCCTCTACTGAAGTGACGTCTCTGCATCGATATTTCGTAACGGCGTCGCCCGTAGTGGTGTTGGTCAAGCCGACATTTTCGATGGTGATATTGTCACAGCCCCCAGCCGCTTTGCTGCAATCCATATCTGCGACGTAACTTGATGCTCCATCGCCGACCCAGCCGCGAATCGTCATGTTGGATATCTTGAACTTGCTGCTCTCACAGTCTCCTTTTTCACCGCTGTAGCTTGTGCATTGGCCGATGACGAATGGCACTTGTTGTGTCTGAGTCAAGTTGAAGTCACTCAATGCTATAGAGATATCAACATCTCGAGCTTCAATCATACAGAAGTTTGAACACTCACTTGCATTCCGAAGGTCTGTCAAAGATTCATGTCAGCCTACGACCTCCTTCGAGCGGGGTGGAAAGACTTACACCCGATACCTCCGCCGCCCCCGTTAGGTGGGTACGACACCTGATCACCGGTCCAAGTCTTGACATAGGCACCATATCGAGTCTTGAGCCCCTTGATTCTGCGGACAGTAATATTCTCAACTCTTTCGAACACACCCTTGTACTGCCCAAGACTTCCAAATGCGATTCCGAGGGAGCGGTCGAGGGTCGACTCCTCGATCAAGATGTTGGTGGAATTACCCTTCAGGGCAATGGCATCATCGCCATTCCGAATGTACATGTTGCGAAACGTGATGTGATCCGAGTTAATCGTGTCTGCTCCGTCGGTGTTCCTGGCAGGGTAGCCATTGCTAGATGTACTGTTGATGTAGATACCATCAAAGAGGACGTTCTTTGACCACATGATTGTCATGGTCCACATTTGACTCTGAACCATTCGGACGTTGCGAACCGTCATGTCCGTGGCTTTCCAAATGGCCAAAGCGTGAGGGCGATCTGGGTAGTTCGACTGGCCTTTAACCAAGTTGTACCTAGAACGCACATTAGTCTGATTGCATATTATTGAGCTGCGGGTAAACCACTTGCCAGACTTGGCCATTGCCGTCCAAAGTTCCATAGCCGAAACCATCTATGGTGACATTCTTGCCGCCTAGGAACCAAGCTGCAGAACCATTCTGGAAACCAGTCGGTTGAGGGTGGCTCACCCAGTAGTCGGTGTCGTTGCTCCACTTTCAGCTGCTTGTCAGCTACACAAAGACTATGGAGTTGACGATGTGAGGGACTCTACCAGCAAAGTGCCATGTATCTCAATTTGGGTATCTTCCAAGTCCGTGGTTGTCATCATTTGGTTGACGTGATATGTCGTATTCGAGAACACGATCCGACGACCTTTGCGGCATTCCTTGAATGCAGCTAAGATGGCTGGCGAATCATCGGTGCCATTATTGTTCGCGGGGACTGTGCAGGTGTAGATAGCTCGAGGGCCGACGCCATGCGCGGTCAAGTCTGCCACAGCCAGTAAGCCCCATAGGAGACATATAAGAAAAGAAAGTTTGAGAGTTTGAGACATGTCTGTACACAGCAATATGATTGCAGGTGCTACAAACACTAACTCTTGGCCTGAGATGATTCATATTTATCTAGAAGCTGCCGATGATGGTCAATACAGCATTGCACAGTCTAAAACTCGGGATATCTCTATACGAGAGGAACGAAGACTCGTCGTCGTTTCTCGCGAAGGTTTTAGTGATGTCTTTGACTATGGAACAATATGGCGTGCACTTTTGCATGCTATTTGACGCACACAATGAGTGGTGATTGCTGAGTGGTGGAATCCAGTAGGCTCGGGACAAATCAAGCGCAGGAACCAGCCCGATGTCCATTGACAAATCCGAATTAGGATTTGGGAGAAGTTCCATTTGCCCGGTTTGTTCCCGAGTGACCCTGAAGATGATTATCCCACCGGAGTTCCTCTTTTTTCCGTCTTCTACGGATAGCGGCAACCAAACCATTTGGGGTAGTGCTGTAATCGGATAGACCCGATCGATGGCCAAGGCAACTTTCGCCTAAATGCGGGGTTTAACGAAGCTGCCCGACATCCACGGCCGTGGCTCGGGGAACTTGGCACGGCTGGGCATCATTGGCGATGAACATTCATGACAAAGCCCATGGAACAAACAATCTGTCGGCGACTTTGAGCCTATCCCTTCCGCCCATGAGCGGACTCCAGCACAAGCTCACGTGTGCTTTCGTCGAAGCACTGGGATCCTATTCACTATTGGACAGCCCACACTTTCTTTAACAATTCCATCATACGTTATACAGGCTTCTTCGCAAGCATGTTGCTCGGCTGTTTCAGGTCACATTTCACAGTAGCATTCACTACTACTCAGCATGTCGTATGAGGTATAGACTTGGATTGGCTGGGAGGCTATATCACTGGTGAAGTAAGTACACTCTATTAACTCTATACACACTCTACAGGATATATATATAGGAAATTTTAAACCCAAGCCACATCACCCTGGCGTCATAAACGGTACACCCACAAACTCTACAGTCTCGGCAACTTAAGAGCAAGTGCCGAAAAGGGGCTGGCAGCCAGTACCGCAGTGAGCAGTAGTGGTGCCGCAGAAGCCGTACTCAGAGCAGCAAGTGCTCTCGGGGCAGGTGTAGGCGTTGGCACCACCGCAGGAGCTGTCAGGGCTGACGCCACCAGTTCCGGTTTGGGTGGCAGCGGGAGCGCTGGCAGTGGTGGTGACGGAGCCGGAGGGAGCAGGGGCAGCGGCACCGCAGACACCGAAGAGGGGCTGGCAGCCGGTTCCGCAGTAAGCCTGGGAAGAACCGCAGAAGCCGTACTCGGAGCAGCAGGCACCAGCCTCGCAGACGTAGCCCTCAGAGCCACCGCAAGCACCGTCGGGGCCGATGACACCGGTGGGGGTAGCAGTGCTGGTGATGGAGACGACGATCTTGGAGGCGGTGGCGGTAGGAGTAGAGGTGCGCTTGGTCTTGTACCAGTTGGCCTCGGGGTCACCAAGGCACTCACCGACGGTGACGGCGTTCAGGTTGTTCTCCTTGATGATGCGGAGGAACTCGGGGACAAGGTACTCGGCGGTGTTCTGGTGAACCTATTTTGATGTTAGTGATGAGCGTTGATGAGAGGCGTGAGATTGTGCTTACCTCGTGGGCCAGAGCGATGGAGCCACCCTTCTTGAGGCCCTCCTCGAAGATGCCAACACTGGTCAGGTTGCCGAGAGGGGCGTTGTTGGCGTAGTCGAGGGAGTCGACATCGGCGTGGATGACGTGGTACTCAAGAGCCTTGAGGATAGACAGGGTGTTGTCGTTCCAGCTGAAGTAAGGAGGGCGCATGTACGTGGGGTACTTTCCGATGATGTTGATCAGAGCGTCCTCGAGGGTGGTCATCTCAGGGATGATGTCGGCATCGCCAAGGGTAGCGAGGTCAGGGTGGCTGTAGGTGTGAGAGCCAATCTGGTGGCCGTCGGCGATCATACGCTTGACAACGTCCTGCTCCTCGTTGATGTTGCCGAAGTTCTCGCCGTTGACGAAGAAGGTGGCCTTGGCACCAGCCTCAGCGAGGAGGTCGAGGACGTGGTTGGTGTAAGTGAACGGGCCATCGTCGAAGGTGAGAGCGAAGTCACCAGGAACGGTGCACTTGGTGATGGCGACACCGTAAGGGATAGTGGTAGCGGGAGCAGTAGAGCTAGGAATAGGGGCGGAAGCGTTGTTGCTCGCAACGGGGAGGGTGGCGCTGGCAATGGGCTCGGTGGGAAGAGCAACACCGGGGACGGTGGTGAAAGACGGGGCAACAGAGGGGGTGGAAGTGTTCATGGGGAAGGGGATGTACGGAGCAGAAGAAGCCGCCTCAGCAGCCTTGCTCGGGTACGAAGGGACGTTGCCGCCGTTGCCACCCGGGTTGGAAGGCTTGCCGGGGTAAGAGGGGTAGGAAGGGTAGGAGGGAGTGTTGCCGGTGCCGCCGGGGGTGGAGGGAGTAGAAACACCGGGAGCGGAGGGCTGCTCGGGGTAAGAGGGAGAAGCGTTTCCACCCTTGCTGGGAGTGTCGTTGCCCTTGACGGGGTAGTCACCACCCTTGGAGGGAGTGCCGTTGTTTCCAGAGTTGCCAGAGCCAGAGCCGGAGCCAGAGCCAGAGCCGTAACCGGTGTTGGAAGACTCACCGCCGGTAGAGGCCTTGCTGGGAGAAGAGGGTGTCTCGCCGGCGTTGGTAGGCACAACCGGGTAGGAAGGAGTCTCGTTGCCCGGGTTGACAGGCTTTCCGGGGTAAGATCCAGGGTTGCCGCCAGTGCCAGGGCGAGAAGGAACTCCAGGAACGGTGGTGTTCACGGGGAAAGGAGCACTGGGGAAGTGAACAGAGGTGGTAGGCTGCGTCTCGGGGGCGTCCTCCTCGCAGAAGGTCTCGTTCGAAGTCTGACGGCGGAAGGGGGAGGCAGTGGCTCCGGCCACGAGGAGAGTGGCAGCAACAGTCTTGTAATGCATGGTTGGTAAAAAAGAATGACTATTTAGATATTATAAAGAATGACTTGGTTGAGATAACGAATGACTCTGCCAAACAACACAGCGACTGACAGTTGACTAGTAAAGAACAAGAGGAAGTCCCAAACTGGACGTCGCGGCATGCGTGCTCCCATATATCCCATCGACTTTGCCAAGTCTGCATGGCCCCCTGATGCGTGAAAGTGAAGGTTAGCGCCTCCATCACGTTCATCCCGTTTTAATTGCCAAGATTCGCAGCCAAGGATTGGAGTCCCAAGTGACAAAACAAGGCCGAGTCATGCCCAGGAACCCTCGCGAGGCGCATCCAGCCTGCTGTGCCTGGCAGCGGAAAAGCAAAGAAACCTGGCTAGCTCAGCTTGGCATCTGCAGAGTTGCCCAGCTGGCTGGGAAATGGAAAGGTCAAAACCTCCGTGTCACAGTGTCTCGCTGCATGGGCAGGAGATAAGATGCAAGCGCCGAGGATAGCTGGTCCATGCACCTTGGGGGAGAGGAAATACGGATAGAGAGCAGAGATTGTCGCTTCTGTTGGTGACGATGTTGGCCTTGGCAGCTCGTAGTGCGTCGACGGGCGCACAACAGACGGACTATTCCTCCGCACGAAGTTGCCAAGACCCTCAATGCCAAATCAAGGCGGGTCTCTTCTTTAAAAGAAACCCAGGTGATGGCATGTCGTTGTGCGACGTTTTTCTGGTCTCCGCCGGTTAGACTTTTCAAGTTGTTCTTGGTCAATTTGGTGAGCCTCAATCCAGCCAATCGAGTTGAGCATGACTCGGAAAACGCCCACTTCTAGGTCCTTATTAACTAGCTTAATGCTACGCTTGCAGCGCCCGAGCCGTCCGGCACTTCGCCGCCTCTTCCCACCAAGATGCGCCTACCGCAACACCAACGGGCAAGTCAAACAGCCCGATGCTCAAGCGAGACGGACTGGCTGCCCCCTGTGACACCGCGCGCGGAGTCCTCCACGCGCCATCTACGAGAGATGAAAGCCATGGCCTCGTTCGTGGTCCAGAGGTTAAAACAACGGGGCTGATGGCGACGCCCCTTTGGGGCTGGAGATTCATCCAATATTTCACAATATCGGCGACGGCGATCCTCACCGTGAAGGTTTTTGATTGCGTTTGTTCCTGATCATGTCATGTTGGAACACAGTTCCAACGGAGGCGACATTACAGAGTACAGTGTGAAGGATTTGGTTGCGGGGGGCTCTATCAGAAAATCCTACTGCAGTAAACCAAAGCACGAAAATCATTTCGCGGGGGCCAACTCCGGGCGCACGCCAAAGGCACAGCTGAAGCAGTCATCAGGGGCTGCAAGACATGACCAACAAATCGCCGATGGTGCACCTGCAGGGGTTGCTGGGCTGGCCGAAAACGAGGCCTTCGGGGTTCGACAGGGATTGGCTGCTTGTTTGTTGGAGCAAACAAGTCGATTCGCAAGGCCTCCAGGCGTTCGTCTCCGCCAGCACAGGCGGCCGATCGTGAAGTCCAGAATCCCAAAGACATGGAGTCCTTGTTTATGTCAGCGGGCTGCCTTTTTAAGAGTGGTCATTGCTGCTGCGCAATGCGTTGTCCCGCAAGCAAAGCTCTAGCGAGACGTTGTATTGGAACTTTGGTATTGAAACTCTAGAAGGAGTTGGTTTCGCTCTTCCGAGAGTCTCGGGACCGTCTTGAAGAGGCGGTGACACATCTGAGATAACTTCGCTTTTTCATGTCAGCCTTAGAAGCCTCTGGAGAAGAAATATTCACCCAACCGTTGGTTGATTCGTTGCCCCTTTATGTCATTTCTCTCTCCTGGCTAGCGTCTTCCTGCATCTGTCTCGCCTTCTTGGCGCATAGGGTCTCACACCACGGTCAAGTGGGGCTGGGCTGCGCAAACTGAACTGCTCAATGCACCAACTGGCTTGGCAGATGAGTCCGTCCAGACGGCCGGAATCCTTCAGTGAGGCCAACATAAGAACCATGTGAATTCTGCATCATAGCTGAAGAGCCAAACATTTTGTAAGACTGTGCGGTTGGCTTCTGATATCGTTCCTTGAAGTCC